TACCTCGTTCTGGGCTATATCAGCTGTTCTGCGGTTCTACTGTTGTTTTCAGTACAAGGCCGATTGATTGTCGGTAACAAATTACCTGACCTTGGTTAGATGCCGCTTGTAGTGCCTGGAAACTCTGCAGTTTACAACAGTCAACTGGACGTCAAGCAAGAGAACTGGCTTTACGTTAAAAGGCTGCCCACTGCATGCAGCCGCGTTCAGATTCCTTACAAATTTTTTTGGTTTCCAATCGGGGAGTGTGGCTAGATAGGTGCACGCATGCAAGCCGGAAACTGCTTGTAGCTCCTTGACTCCTTGTTTGAACAAGGATCAATTAGAGGAATAGACTCTAGACTCATCCTAACGACAGACGACCACAAAGCCAGATTTTGCCTGCGATGTCCTGTGCACCGTTCATTGAATTTCAGCCAAATTGTTGTGCAAACAGGCCACACGATGTGTATGGAAGAGCCGTGTCCGTAGCCTTAGCCAAGATGAATTCAACAGACTGATTTGAGATGTAGGCTTGCGCGTCCATGAACCATGTCAGCTCAGCTCAGCTCAAAACATGCTTACACTAGGAGTAGATTAATGACCGAGTGCAATCTGCTGCTCTCGATATGATTGTGAAATAATTGGATGGGATCTAACCAGGAGCCGCTATTCTTTCTGGAAGTTGTTCACGATCAAAAGCAAGAAGGGCATCATGGAAGTTGTGTCATGATACCTTATACAATACAAAATTAAACACATGGTCTAGAAGTGTGGAATAGAGACCAGCAACAGCGAGTTTGTTCGGAAGCAAACAATCCTCCTCGATTCTGTGTTGAGGCTTGCGACACGGTCCAACACACATCAATTTGGCATGTCTTCCAAAACTTAGGGGTGTGATGAAGGGTCGTGAGCTACTGTCAGTGAGTGGTCGTGGGATCTCGAAATGGTTTTGCTCGAACACTGACACAGAAACATCACATTCACCAAACAGAATGTGATGCAGATGGACAACGATAACACGCTCACCAAATCCTGATGACCTGCCGCCACAAAGTTTGACCGTTACTAACTTTATTGATTTCAAGGCAAGGAAATCTTTTCAAGGCCTGGACAGTGCCAAGGCCCGAAGACAAGCAGCTTGTAAGCTGTCAAATTAGTGTGACCACACCATTTGGAAAACATGGACTTCTCTGTGAATCCAAGTCAAGCCTATTGGTCAAGATCCTGATTTGTGGATTACAAAGTCCTTGCTGGCTTTTGCCGAAGCTGCTTTGCGAGCTAAAGATGTTTGGAGAGTATTCAAAGGCAGGTGGAGATGATGCTGACGTGATGTGGCGGGAGTCATGTAGAGTCAAGTCCACAGACGCAGGGCTACCATCTAGCTGCTGCGGTCCCTACTGCTGTGTTTGTAGGAAGACGTTTTGCTCATCATCCGCCCAGACCTGCCTGCACCTATCTATCACAGAGCAACTAGCCCCTCAGGTGCCTTTCAGCCTGGAGCGCTGCGTCAGGCCAACTGCCAGGCAGTTGGGTTTGCAGTCAACAAGACCCTAAACAACTGGACAACCGGGGTTGCTGATATCGGTGTTGGGTTTGCAGGTGATCTGGGGATGGAGGCTGATGTGGCCGTTTGTTCTACGAACCGCGAACGTCGGTCATTTTGGGTGCCCCACTGGTGGGTGTTTGCAAACAAATGCTCCATCCAGCAGCGGCCGGCGGCCAGCCCTTCTTCTAACATTTTAAAGAGTTGTGTTGGATTTGAGAGAGATGCCAAGCGTGAACTGAACTTGCTGCGAGCGAATTATGGAAGCCTTAATTTTTCTAACAATGCACTCCAGTCACAAAGCATCCGCGAAAGCTGTCTCGAGGCATTGAGTAGAGAGGCTGAAAGCTGGCAGATGCGATTCTAGCTAGCGTAGCACAGACTGCGTGAAACTGAACTCCAAGTCGCCAAAGTGTGGCGAAAGGAAACCATGAACTAATGATCCAACAAACAGCAACATCTACATTGGTCTTGAGGCTGAGAACCGCTCACAGGTTTCAAAAGAATTTGCCACAAGAGGCCATTCAGCTACAACCAGCAGTGGCAACT